GAGTTGTCGATAAGGTTCCACTCGATATTTGGGTTTATACATGCTCTGTGTACATGATACATAAATATCTCTGTACCAAAGCTGGAGTGGATTTTTCTCTAATAGGTTATTCGTATATGCAATCGTTTCCAGGAGTGATGTTTTCATACATGTACACTTAAATGTTTTTCAAATTCATAGCAACACTTTTCTGAAAGTTATTGACTTCGAAATCTCCTTTTCGTCTATGATTTGACCTTGAGTTACGTGTGATCCCTCTATGAACATATGATGTGACTTTGAAAGCGGCAACGATTTGATCACCCTGAGTCGCATGTCACATGACCTTGGAAATTACAACCAATTATGGACCTCCCCCTACCGCTACTAAGGTCGCATGGTATATTGCCAAGCTAAAATCAAAACGATTCAGAATTTGACAATATGACCTTGAAAATGACACCATAAGAGCGTGTTCTCACGAAATCGCGAAATGGTATCATTACGAAAAATGAATCTTTCGTAACCTAAAATGAATTAGTTGAAAAATATTCAGTATTTTTCTCTATATCTATAGAGTGCTCACCTACCAAAATTAGGTTCAACAAAAATGATATGGAAGTATTCAAAGTTTGTGATATTTTATGAAACTTTTCTACATCCAATATGGTAGTTAATTCAAATTGTTAATCAATTTCATGTATTTTTCTGAAAATCGCACGTTGAAAAGTAAGATCGCATTACTTTCCAGCCCGCACAATTGACATATTGATGAATGACATATGTGTTCTATCTTAATATTTCTAGAGGTATCAAAGTCTTTTCGACAACGAATCTTCCTGTGGTCAAAATCTTTCATAACTATCAAAAAGCTATATCTATCCTTTCAACTTTCTCCACAAATCTCTTCAAATTTATCAAAAGTAAAATCTGGAGCTATACACCATCGAGATAAGTATGATGAAGATTGAGTTCGTCTTGTTTGAATGAAAAAATCATATAACAATAAGCAATGTTTTCGATATTCAACTGTATGTTTGTCCTAAATACACGGCATCGGTATCTGTACCTATTCCTACACTTTGAAAGATATTCTTGAATTTTGTCTACAGAGCTCATAGTGACGTTATCGAATATAAACAGAAACTTATTTTTAGCATCAGATAATACGAATATTCTCATCATTACTGCTGAATAGAAAATACTCAAGTCATTCCAATACATTGTTCAGCATCTCGAATTTTGGTTGATATGAAGACTTGGATTAAATAAATACACTTTCAAATTCAACTCTATTGAAATTAGAAATGAGATATAGGTAAGCATTTGTCATGCATGACTGCTTGGTCTACACAATACAGTTCCACTACATTCCAGTATTTTCAGGTATATTCTGAAATATTTTGAAATGCTCTAGAATGCCCTGGAGTATTCTTTACTATTCCAGAAATTTATAAAGGCAAAGCTTCCAGCGCTTATATTTTCAAAAGCACTCCCTTCCAGACCATTTCCGAATATTAAATATTGTTTTTGGATGTTGTCAAATGTTCCAGAATTCTCACGATTGTTATGACGGTTTTTAAAATTTATTGGAGCGAGAATTATAATGGAACGGCTATTATCTCAAAAATGACGCCTTTCATTTTGAAACTGGAAAATATTCTATCAATGGGAAATAGAAATAAAACTCCTTCAATCATTTCACAATGATTTGCGATGTTTCGGGAGGTTTTCGAACATTACACCACACTCCAGAACATCCTGGAATGTTGTCCAATAATAATCGTTCCACAATAATCGGCGATGTTCAAAGATATTCACGAACACTCCGGATTATTTTTGAATATAACACCATATTCTGGGTGCATTTCATTAGTTCGAACTTTCATTGCCTAATATGATATAAATTGATTTGAAATACCTGAAAGAATCTGCAAAAAAATTAAAAGAGATTAGCTGAAAAATAACAATTATATCAAGCAAAAAAAACTGAAAATATAATGAAATGAAATACAAGCAACAACCAAAAAATCAAAAAAATCGTACTATTAACACGAGAGGAAAATTAAATAATTGTTCAGAAGAAATGAAAATTAAAAGATTCCAAACCAAGTTACTCCACGACGTTTCGATTGTTAGTATCCACAATCGTCTTCGGGTGATAACTGGACTTGTTCAGATACTGTCCTGTGTGAGTGAGTTTTCGATACACAGACGTTTCCCGTTTCGTGCCGGTCCTCTTCACCAGGAATCCAACCACCATCAATCGACTAAGAGAGAAATCATCAAGAATCTACTGGACCGTGCTTTCGGGCTCCGTAATACAAAAAAAGGTCTCGACAAGGAACTAGGGATCACCAAAAATGACCTTCAACGGAATGGTTACCCCAAAGTGATGGTGGAACAGGCTTTAGCTAGAAGACAGCAAGAGCTCCACAAGGAAGAAAAGCCGCCACAACCAGTACTTGTACTTCTATACATCAGAGGATTGTCGAAAAGGATAAGAAAGATTGGGTTCAAGTATAACATCAGAAACTGCTTCAGATCTAGGAACAGTATCCGTAGCAGCCTCACAAAAACCAGGTCACCAAACGCGGACTGCGATTTCAAGAAACACTCACAGCGAGGAGAAACCAACAAATCAGGAATATCAGAACAGGTTTGGACTCATCAAGATAACATCAAGTAGGCTCAAGCTAAGAACACTGGTTTAGGAGAAAATTCAAAGAAGCCGTATATATGCTGTCCAAAAACGCATTCAGCCAAGCTAATGTAGAGATACGTAACATATGGAAACCTCCAATCAAGCGGAACACGACCAACACCCGCCAAACGATCAGCTTCCGCTAAAACCAATGAAGCGTAGAAAGGGAAGAGTGGATAGGTGAAAGTACTCGAATGACCTATAGTCATATTTTGGAGAAATAAGTTCATTTATCACCCGAAGACGATTGTAGATACTAACAATCGAAACGTCGTGGAGTAACTTGGTATGGAATCTTTTAATTTTCATTTCTTGTTGATAGTTCAATTTTTTTTTGGTTGTTGCTTGTATTTTATTTCATTCTAATTTTTTTTGTACTTAATATACTTAATTGTTATTTTCCAGCTAATCTTTTCTATTTTTTTTACTTTTTTTAAATATGTTTACTGAGCTTCAGTTTGACACTATCAACATGGAACTTCCAGGTAAGTTTATTATCAATATCAACACATAAGAATTTAGTACAATTAACTTGATGTAAAGTTTCATTATTTACTTTGCCTGGTTTGGTGATCCAAAATATTTTTAAATGCGGTTTTTTCGATTGGTTGGGAAAGGGATCAAAAATATTCGTAGATAAACAATTTAGTTTTTGTGGCAACGTTTCGGACTTTATTAAATCCATCATCAGGGCTCCACAATAAAATAATTCAATAAGTGAACAGTATATGCCAATACATATTGCAAAATTTATAAAGTTTATACAATCTCATATTATGTAAAAGAGAAACAAACAGGTGCACTTACCAAACATTAGTTATCCATGTCAAAAAAACGTTTAAAATATAAGTGTCAGACAACATAGGTACAGTTTTTTTGCTTGATAAAATTGTTTTTACTCATTTATTTATTTTCAGATTCTTTCAGGGATTTTATATCAATTTATATCATATTAGACAGTGGTAGTCTGGACTGATGAAATGCACTACGAAACATTGTCAACCACCTTCAAACAAACTCATTTATGCATTGAATTCACTAAAAATTGAATGATAACTTGGTGGATGGACGAAGCAATAGTTAAGATTTACTCTAAAAGGTTTTCGTAAGAGGTTACCTGAAGTGCATATTGAGAATGCAAACTGGTATCCCAAATTGACAATGTGACCAAAATATTAGTGAGTAAGAGTAAATACTTTCCCAAGGCACGGACAGCGAATTAGGCGAGTGATTAAGGAAAGAAAAAGAACCGTTAGGAATAGAAGAACCAACCTAGTGTTTCATAACAACCTCCTGAAGTTATGGCAATTTTAATGTTGAGTATTGAACATAAATTAAACACTAGTTTCTTCACACAACAATTATATTCGGTGCACTTAAAGAAAACATACCAAAACCTTGTGCTGATCCTGATTAAACTCAGATAGTCAAGCCAAAAACAGATGTTAAAATTCACTTGATATATGGTGATTCGAAAATCATTTCAATGTTGCTTTGTCGATCAAGCAACATTGAAATGATAGTTTCAAAAAGTATCCATGTTTTTGCAGATGGGAAAGCCATGACAGAAAACTTCAGGAGGTCGGTACTAAGAAGATTGAGAAGGTGAGTCTGGTAGTCTCGTAAATGGGTATAATGAAATATTAATAATCTGGTGTGGCCTTGTCAAAGAAAAGGGATAATTTAGATATCTTATGGTGGCTGAGTTAGCTGAACTACAGTTAAAATTTGTTTTGCCTGACATTCGAAAACTCGTTGAGGATGACAGCTCTGCAACAGAAATGAGTCCAGTTGAAAAATTGTAACCAAAAAAGGTAAGTTTTTTGGGAACAGAACAGATCTCGACTTTAGGATCATTGTAGCAAGAATTTCAAAAACTTCAAGACTCTCAGATATAACTTAAGCCTGAAAGTGAATTTTCTGTACTCGAACTTTGACTACTCCCTATAAAATATTGGTGGTAGCAGTGAATAACAAGCCAAAATATTTCATTGAAATATGAAGGAAATCATAGAGCAACATCATGAAAGATGGACTATTAATCTACTACTGGATGTTGAAAAAACACAAAATGAAGTTTCGCTGGGAAGTGAAACACTAGTTAAACACTCAGAACATATAAAACTGAGTTAGTGGAATTACCATGACATATGTAATTTGATGAGAAACTGTTATTACTATACTTTCACATTATATTACATTGATTATTTTTGACTGAAGTTGTATTCTGGTTATTCACAGAATTTTTTTTTTAATTGCATATTTAGGTTATGAAAAGATTTACTCAGATCTAATGCTACTTTTCCCTGAAACTTACCTAAAATGCACATTGAGAACGCAAACTGTGACCCAAATCGACGATGTGACCAAAATCATAGTGAAGAGTAAATACTTCCCCAACAAGGGCACAGCCAACGAAGTTGGGGGAATAATCTCGGCGAGGAGAAGGAAAAACACCGTTAGGGAGAGCAGAATCGACACACAAAGCGTTACTTTCTCCCCTGAGTCTGAAGGCAAGTAGAACACCAAAACAGTCAGGAATGTAATCCCGACACAGGGGATGATTAGGTTGACTGTATAGAATAAGGTTTTGCGGCGCATCGTTATCTTGAAGGTGATATCTGAAAAATAAATGGAATAAGAACGGGAATGGAATTTGAATATAAATGAAGTTTTTCCAGGAAGAAAGGTAAGAAATTGAAAAATTGATTTACTGCGATATTTCCGTCTTTGTTACTTAATATTTCATCATGAGAGAAATGAAACTTATGAAAACATTTGAAAAGATGTAATGAATGGAATTTCAATAAATTTTTGCATTATAAATATTGTTTTTCCATTATTCATCATCAGGATATTTTCCTCAATATCCCTTGGAGAAAGTATTTGGGTTATTCTTGACGTTAGCTGACTTTCACTCCCGTTCAATAAAAAAAAAAAAACGTTAGGAAAATAAAACAGATGTAACATTTTCACTATATGTGGTGTTCGCCAAAAAAGGTACATTGTGTGTCAAAAAATGAGTTGTGACTCAACGATAGTTTCGGACTCGTATCTACAGAACCGTTCACTGAAAAACTACAGGTATGACAGATTCTTCAAGTTCTACAATGCTGATGCGAGAGAAGTATTCAGTTGTGTACCTTCCATTCAAATCCTCCTCAAACTCAGCATACTCGGTTTCACAATTTTCTGATGTATATCTCATTAACTGCTTCGAACTCTTCATCGAAAATATGATTGTTTTTGAAATCGTCACTCGCGTTCTTTTCAAATGAATAGTATTCAAGGTTATTATTAATTCGCGATTAAATTCCCAGGAAATGTATGAAACTGAAAAAAAACATTTGTGATGATAAGACAGAAAACCCAGAAAAGAAAATATTACTTTAGAAAAGGCTACAATCATCTGCATTGTAGCTCAATCACAGACTTGATAACTGAAGCTATCGCCACACTACAACGGAAATATTCATCGCAGATTCAAGATATGACGTCACAGATACCTAGACCACTGGTATCAAGACCGTACACCCCACTGAAAGCGTGTACATAATAGTAAGACACTACGAAACTATACAGTGTGTCCTCAAAGTATGGAATAAATTCAATATTTCCAAAACCAAAGTTCGTTTTACAAAAACCTGAAACACGTCGATTTTCAATTTCAATATTCTATATTTCACTATACATTTCATTATACAGGGTGATCCATATTAATGTGATGACGTCATGGGTAATTTTTTAAACACAACACCCTATATTTGGTGTCAGTTTTAGATAATCCGTAACGAACTGATTCCGAAAAAATATGATACTTTGGGTCTAACGGACAGAATTTGAAAGATGTGCGCTTAGAAAATAAATTTTATTGATAGTAGAAATTAATTTATTATTTTATATTTTTTTTCTAATGATTATTCACACAATGGGAAAGTAATCCAGTAATAAATACATGACTTTATTTTAATGTTCGAACTGTGGTCTTTGCTGTAGTTGACAGTACCAGTGCTAACAAGTATTCTTATTAATTTCAAAAAACTAGGCAGCTAGTTTTTTTGTTATTGTGAAATGTCATTATTTTGATTGACGTTCAGTAACTGTTGAATAGGACAGTAGTTGTTGTATTAACTCGTGAAATTTCTGTAGTATTGTTTTGAATTAATTTGAAATAGTAATGAATTTAAGTGAAAAGCAAAGAATTGAAATAGGTACTTACGATGATTGGTTATGGAGACAGATCGCGAACTCAGATGGAAGTGTGTAACTTATTTAATGAAAAATATCCAGAAAGACGCATAATGCAGTTAGCAGTAAAATGTAGGAAAATCAGGTCGTCCTTCTGTAAATGATGATACAAAACTAGATATTCTAGTTGCTTTTGAAGATGTGCACACTTCTGTTCGTAAGGTTAGTCATGATTTCGATGTCAGTAAAACAACTGTATAAAAAGTATTAAAATTGGAAAAATGGCATCCCTTCAAAATCGAACTTCTACAGGAATCAAACGAGGAGGATCCAGATAGAAGAATAGAATTTTGTGAAGCCAAGATGGATAACTGTCACCGAGACCGTCTCCTTGTAAAAAATATAATTTTTTCTTACGAAGCAACTGCTACATCAAATGGTGGGGTCAACCGTCAGAATTGTAGGTACTGGGCCAAAGAAAACCCCCACTGGACGTGAGCATCATATACACAATACCCGCAAAAGGTAAATGTATGGGCTGGCATTGTAAGAAACAGGATCATCGGACCCTACTTTTTCGACGGTACTTCAGACGGGCCAACATACCTTCAGTTTTTAAGGGGATATCTTGTACCTAGTTTAATTAATTTATTCTCCAGCAGAATTAATACTGAAAGTTTTGTTGAAAGTTTATGGTTTCAACAGGATGGTGCGCCTCCACATTATGCTTCAGATGTTCGAAGGTACGTCAACCAAATGTTTACGAACCGTTGGATTGGTAGACGTGGACATATTGAATGGCGAGGTCGCCAGACCTAAATCCGATCAGTTCCTGAACCAAACATTGACAACACGACTCTTCCAACCATCCTCACATTCTGTTGGTCACCGTAACATGACTTCAAATTTAATTCTATGACTCTTCAGTCAATCATAAAATTCGGTTAGAAAACATTATTCAATACGAACCGCCAATTTTTCAATCCACGTGGACTAATTCGTAGCGGCATTATTCCTTTGTATTGGTTTTTGTGGCCTTTGAGTTCGCCGAAGCTTCAAGAATTACTATATCGGTTACTTCGACTATACCTATATGAAATGCAGTTAAAAAGTTTGACCCTGTACAGAAACCTCATATCTGGACATGACTCCAAATAATGTGGTTCAAAAATGAACCCATAAGCTATTCTGGAATAACTCATTTGATATGTATTTGATATTTTAGTACTCAATTTGTTTCATCAAAAACACTTCAAAAACTCAATTTCACGTGAACCTTCTGAAAATTAGGACACCATATTCAGAAATGTTGATCACGATAAATTTCGAACATAAGCAACCTGTTATACGCCAGCTGCAGAAATGAGCGGATTTTATGAACCTTACCCCTGAAACCAGTCAATTACCTTTTCCCGGTATGACTTTTCCTAAACAACACCAATGTTCAAGAATTAGGTTCTGCTTATCCTCTAGGTACATCAAAGTTAATCATGTACTGGGGGTTGCTTTTACCCTGTAGGTGGATGCCACCCTTTCTTGGGATTGCAAAATTTTTTATGGCAAATGAGTCATTCTTAGTAAAAAAACCGAAGTAATAGCTTGTTGAAATAATTCAGTTTCTGACACTTCGAGATATTACCTTCGTTTTCGCGGTCAACGCCCATACCACCAATGATGTCAGCCGCAGTAGCAGACGAAATGTTTAGTACTATAAGTTCCATTCGAACACGGATTACCAGCCCAGATTTTATGTTCTCCGATCGTGACATCGTCCCAGAAAGACTGATATAGTGGTAAAAGTTAGTTCTCATTTGTCGAACGACAGAATTGAAAGTTTCACTATGGTGCAATTGAAGAATTATGCCTATTTTGCTCGGAATAACTCAAAATTATAATTGATAGGAAAAATTAAAATTTGGTGTTTCTTTGAAGAATATAATTTTTATCACGTACAGAAAAAGTTTCTCAGTGCCATGATTAACACGCTAGAAAAGCAGACCAGGTTTCCAGCACATAGGTCATCATTTTATAAAAAATTATAGAGGTATAATGTTTTTCAATCATCTTCCTATAATATTACCGGAATTTTTTCCCAACACAAACCGTTATTTTAACACCTAAACATGTGTTAATCATACTTATAGAGCTATCCTTATTTATACCATAGATACCTATTCTCGGTACCTGCGTTTTGAGTGTCTCTAATCACTTTCACAATATTGCCTTATCTACTAATCTCAAATTAATTTTACAATGTGTCCTTATGTAAGGTGAATACAATAATTGAAATATAATTAATTTTACAATATTGCTTTATCTACTAGTTTTAAATTAATTTTTCAATATGTCCTTGTGTGAAAGTCAGGTGAATCTAATGAAAAATATTATCTAATAAATAAAATATTATTTCAACATATATATTATTTCAACTATATATTATACTATTAGGTGTCCACCATCGTTATTCATAATATTATTATGTTTACTTATTTCTACATTACCTAAGGACACATTGTAAAATTAATAAGACTAGTACATAGGGTAATATTGTGGAATTAATTTCATATAGCTTATAATATTCTAAATAATAGATTAACCTGACTATCACTAAAGGACAATTGTAAAATTGATTTAAAATTAGTAGATAAGGCAATATTGTGAAATTAATTAGAGACCAACAACAGGTATCTATGGTATAAATGAGGATAGCTTCGTAAGTATGATCAATTTGAACTTTCTCTTGAAGATGATCACTTGGTGAACGAAACACGTGTGGTGATTTCAAAATAACGGTTCGATATTGGGAAAAAAACTCCAGTAATATTCATTACTATACCAAAGGTTCCGAACAGTGCATCACAAGTATCTTTCTGCAAACCTGAAAGAGCTACAGAATAAAAACTTCTTCAAATAAAAATTGAAAGGATATTTACTTGATGCAAGATGAATATGTGTTTACTTGTTTGAATGAATGTGAATTGGAATGAATGTTTTTATGTATGTATACAAACCTGTTGAATAGTGATATTCTTGTTGGTTTTTAATGTGTCTACTATCTCATGGTAGTTGACTCTGTACCCTATACGTGTCAGGTACGATCTTCAATCGTTCTTGTTGAACTTTCTCTATTTTTTTTTTTTTCGTGAAATTTTCAAATTTGATACAAACGTGAATGATTTTTGTGGGATATTATAGTCCTGACTTGAAGTTTCTCTCATTAGACAATTCAGAAACAAACAGCCTATCAGTATGTTTTATTAGGTTATCAGTTTTAATATAATTTGCCTTTCTTCATACATTTTGGTGTAGTCTGTATATCATGTTGACAAAGATATAAAATATTCAGCGTTAAATAGTTCACAGCCCTCAAGACAAATCGCAAAGTCGTGAAAAACTTCCAGGCAAGACGGCTAGATTGCTTCTCCAGAAATGA